CCTGAGGGCGCCTGACAGCTGGGTGGACAGCGCTTCGGATTCATAGTCCTGAGGTTCCGGGTTCGATCCCCGGTGAAGGCGGAGACAAATGGGCAAAATGTTTCTTTCACCCTGATGCCTCTGTTCACCTAGCAGTAAATAGGTACCTGGGAGTTAGACAGCTGCTACAGGCTGCTTCCTGGGGGGGGGGGGGATATGTGTGAAAAAAAAATAGTAGTAATGGTTGATTGATTTGACAGTTGAGAGGCGGGCCGAAAGAGCAGAGCTCAACTCCCGCAAGCACAACTAGGTGAATACAGTACTGTAAATAAATACTGTAAAGCATTTAAATATGATTTTGAATAAAAGTATCTATATACAGAATGATATATTTTTTATTGACAAACTTGCTAAGCATACATTGATGATTACAAGACAACACAACCACATTGTCATATACTGTTTTTATATTTAGTGTAAATAGAATATGAACGATCGACAACGATAACAGACAACTTATATATATTTGTATATGTGTAAAGTGTTAGTTTGCTAATGTATAAAAAGTTTTTCCTCATTTTTACATCTTCCATAACTGCCAGAAATTAACAACACATATAATGACTAAAATGTAATGGAATCAAATAATAATAATTTATTATTATTATTATTATTATTATTATTATACAAATACTGTATAATTATTCCTTTTCTTATTAAAAAATTAAAGTGATTGTTCATTTGAAAATATTAATTACAAAATATAATTGAATCTACTGTATTTCCATCTATAAAATACCTGTACTGGAAATTACAGTACATAAATACAATTACAAAAATTCATGATAAACTTCAAGGAATAGTTACTCTGGACAAAAATTGGAACCAACACAGCATAACAATCTATTTTGTTGATTTCTCTTGAAAGTCTAGACAAATATTCATACAATTATTGCTTAAATTACTCTGATAATGTAATGTATCCAAGAGGAGAAAATACATATTTCATCAAATGTAATACTGTATACAGTATATATTACACAATACTTCAGTATATATTACACAATACTTTTTTCAACAGGTTAAGAAATTAAATTGGTAGTGGTCACTAGAGGAAGGCAGTAAGATGAAGGGAGTTAGGGAGATGGGGGGGGAAGGCAGGGAGATGAAAGGAGGCAGGGAGACGAGGGAAGTACGGAGACGAGGGAAGTAGGGAGACAAAGGGAGGTAAGAAGTTGAGGAGAGGTAGGGAAAAGGGGGGGGGGTGACATAGAGAGAAAAATAGATGAGTAGCAGAGATGAGAGAGATGGAAGTAGTAGAGATCAGAGGTAGACGAGATTAGAGAGAGAGAAAGGTAGCAGAGAAGAGAGTAGAGTAGTGTAATATGATACTGAGTGGGGTGGGGAGGGGGGGGGTGAGTTAACTTCTGACAGTTACAATGTTCTTGTACTCCTCGCTAATTTACTCGCAGTTCACAACCTTCACAACATTTCGTATTGCGGTAAATGCCAAGTTATGGTCTTTCATACATCCACACGTACAGCCATACACACACACGGTAAGAATATTGAAGAGGAAAACAGAAATTGTTAAAAAATAATTTTCATTTATATCATCCTTGAACAAAACAAGTTATGTGATATAAAATTACACAGAGCAACATTTTTTTAGTAATATATTATTACAAAAAATATAACAAGCAACGGTACTTTTGAACAGCCGGTACAGTTTTGGAGTTAACACTGATGAGCCAACATCATACAGAAATATACAAAGTTTGCTTTATTTTGAACTTGAAGCTGATTGGTTAGTTCTGCTGTCAAGATTTGAGCTTGTCCTTGTGTAGTTTGTCGTGGAATGTATATAAATAGATGCTATGTTATAAAATATGACCTTGTAGGCCACCTGATTGGTCTCCATTATCACACAAGACATTTTCCTATGCTTTTTGCCTATTATCTCAGAACTTCAAATTTGCTCTTGAATAGAATGAGTCACTGAAGCTCTAGGATGAGAGTGTTTTAATACTGAAGACACATTAACTTTCAATAACAGTCTCATCAGCTGAGTTACTCTGAATTAGGATACAGTTAGTTTTTGATTACTCTAACTTTAATATCTATATATGCAGACTCAAACTTTACTTCGTAATAATCTAATTATTAAAGAGTACAAAGTAAAGACTGTACAGACCTGACTCTGCTGTGGAAGCCCCATTGTAGTAAACCTACTTATTAAAATTTAAGTAGGCCTACTTAGTAAAATATACAAAATGGCAATCAATAATGTCAGCCTGAATTAATGTTTCATGGCACTGCACGATGTTAGCATCACATCACTGGTTTTTTGATCTACTGCTATTGGCACGGGGGCTTAGCTGGGACATTTATATATCACATTCACAGCTGAGTGGCATGATGCTAACACTGGCAGTAGGGGCATGACTCTTCTGTTACCCCCTGGGGACCTGCAGGTGCTCTTTAGCAAACTTCAGGGTGCTTTTTAGGGACCTTCAGATATCCTTCAGGTGTTCTTTAGAGATTTTAGACCTTCAGGTACTCTTTAAGGACCTTTATGTCCTCTTTGGGGACCTTCTGAAAGTTTGTAGACTTTCAGGAACACTGCACAGACCTTCAGGCACTCTTCAGTGACCTTCAGACACCTTTAGGTTCTGTTTAGGGTCTTTAAAAAGAGATACATTCAGGTACTCTTTAAGAACCTTCAGACACCCTCAAGAACTTACACACCTTCATACTTTAGAACACTCTTCAAGAAACTTCCAAAACCTTTGGGTGTCTGAAGAGAGACCTTAAAAACTCCTTTAGGCACACACTCCTTGAGACACCTTAAAACTCCTTTGGGCACAGTTCAAGGTCTTTCTGATAAATCTGGGCACTCTTCAGGTACCTTTAGACATCTTCAGGGGCCTTAAGAAACCACTGGCAACTCTATAGGGCCCCCATTGACACCTTTTGGCACTTTTCAAAGACCTTCATACATTTTCAGGGACTCTTTTTAGGTACCCCTTGGACACTCTCAGGAACTCTTCAGGAGCCTTTCAGATATCTTTGGGACCTTCATTCACCTTCCACAGCAGTCAACAAATGTCTAGTCAAGTTCACAGCTAGATAACCAAAGTTCCATGTTTATGGCACCTCCCTTATATCCTATCTCAACAGCTGATTTATTTAATCTGTTATCTTTATCACTATCCTTAGAATTATTATTAATATTATCATGGATAAGATTATGCTACTCGTATTTATTAGTTTCTGTTATATACACCTCTATATGAAACTGAATTATTAAATACAAAATTCATTACAGTTGCATAAATCTCAGACCTTTAACCAATATACATAGTATAGAATATCAAATACAAACAATTGTTCATGATTTACAGGCCAATGGGCTTTAAAAATACAACACTGGGAAGAAAGGAGTAATATTCTAAAAATAAAATAAAAACAGGCTAATAAAAATAGAGTACAAAACTGGGCCTCAGTCTGTAAGAGGTATCTGGGTGATGAAGGGACACTAGGGACTGCTGGAGGTGGCTCCAGGCTAAATCCCATGCCGGAGGGAGGTGGAACAAGGGGGGTGGCAAAGTAAGGAGGAGGAGGAGGAGGAGCAAGGGATGGCAGAAGGAGGTGTAGGGGGGGAGGGGGAAGCAAAGAGAGTGCATGAGGTGACAAATATTATGAGAGCGTGGCTACAAATTGAGGATGTCATTGCATGGGAACTGTCTCAGCTTTATGGCAGCCCCGCATCAAGGCGGTGGGAAGGGTTGCTGCACAGGACAAAGAATACCTCATATCACACACAACAAAGAATATCCCGCATGCAAACTACCACACAGGACAAGAGACGTGGAATCATCGTGGAAACTGCCACATTAGACAGACTCAAACACCACGGGAACCACTATACACCAGGAGAACTGCCCATTATCACAACTTCCATTCCTTGGAGAAAATATATCCTGGGAGGAGGGAAGGTGACTGCAACCCATTGCATGTACAAATTGAATGGTTATCAAAATGGTCTCCTAAATAGCCATGATCAAAAACAGGATCACTCTGCCATGTGAGCCACATTGTTCACTGGCTTGTGGACAATACCACAGTGTTTCCCTGATGGCAGCATCCACAGGAGAGATTTCTCTTATCCAGGAGAGGGGATTGTAGCTTGTATCGAGGATAGGGGTGGTAGCTCACACTTTGGGAAGGGGGATGGTAGCTCACACCTTGGGAAGGCAGCAATAGCTCACACCAGGGACAGGGGGTAATAGCTCACACCATTGGAAGGGGGGTGGTAGCTCGCACCAGTGGAAGGGGAGTGGTAGCTCACACCAGGAAAAGGGAGTGGTAATTCACTCCAGAGGAAAGGGATGATAGCTCTCACCGGAGGAAAGGGGTGAGGCTACAAAGCTCCTGGGAGGACTAACTAGAACCTAGATGGGAGGCCCACCACAGGACTGAGCCTCATGGCAGGTTGATGAAGATGCTAAACTTCAACTATCCAGAAAGAATTGCAAGGGAATAATCAGACCAAATATACAACCTAAACACAGATGACTCGACACAAAGACGCGTCCAACAAGAACTAGTGACAAGCTTCCTGGAAGACATGGACGTGTCCAGCACACACTCAGTCTGCTGGAATAAGGCGGGGCTTGAGCAAATGGCCTGACTTTGTGGTTTGATCAAAGATGTTTTCAAAGTAATGGAGAGTGAAGCTTTGGTTTAGAAGGAGAGTAAGTTAGCATTATATTTTCTGTTATAAGGCATGATTTGGATTTAAGCTGACACAATTTGGAAGTGAGAAATATTAAATGTTTCAAATTAATTAATTAATTATTAATATATATATATATATATATATATATATATATATATATATATATATGCGGAAAATCCACAGAGAAATATGAAATGAGGTGAACGTTTCGGCTCTGTTAAAGCCTTTGTCAACACCAGACTGACCAAGGCTCCAAGACAAAGGCTTTAACAGAGCCGAAACGTTCACCTCATTTCATATTTCTCTGTGGATTTTCCGCATAAAATGATCAGTGTTTTGTGATCGTCAATTGCATATATATATATATATATTTAGTTTGTGTCAAAGCAAGAAATATTAACTTACAGTATATATAATTTGAATATAAATAATTTGATTAAAATGAGGGGAGCCTTGGTTACAGGTGAGTGGTAAAGTGAGGCAGGGGCCTGCACTACAGTGTGTGAGGCAGGGGCCTGCACTACAGTGTGTGAGGCAGGGGCCTGCACTACAGTGTGTGAGGCAGGGGCCTGCACTACAGTGTGTGAGGCAGGGGCCTGCACTACAGTGTGTGAGGCAGGGGCCTGCACTACAGTGTGTGAGGCAGGGGCCTGCACTACAGTGTGTGAGGCAGGGGCCTGCACCACACAGTGTGAGGCAGGAGCCTGCACCACAGTGTGTGAAGCAGGGGCCTGCACCACAGTGTGTGAGGCAGGGGCCTTCACCACAGTGTGAGGCGGGGGCCTGCACCACACAGTGTGAGGCAGGAGCCTGCATCACACAGTGTGAGGCAGGAGCCTGCACCACAGTGTGAAGCAGGGGCCTGAACCACACAGTGTGAGGCAGGGGCTTGAACCACACAGTGCAAGAGGTGCATGCACCATATGGTGTGATGCCATAGCCAGCACAATGCAGTGTAAGGTAGTGGCCAGCCCCATGTGCTATCTGTATTACAAGTTGTGGCTTCAGCCACCTTGCAATGACAAAAGATTTTGATTAATTCTGCAGGGGTGACCACCACATGTCACCTGGTCCCTCAATGACGTCTCAGGTCATGGTGGGTAATAGAGGTGACAATAAGTCAATTTTAGTGCAACTCTTAGTCATGATAGGTCGGCTACTGTGGTGGCTGTAGAGTGGGTGGTGGGGAGTCTGGACCAGGAGGAGAGAGGTGTGTGTGTGTCGGGGTGGAGATAATCAGTGTCTGACTCAGGGCTCCATCATTAACTCTGTACCCTCCTCCTTCTACTGTTATCTGAGTGAGCGACTTCTGGGGCATGGTGGCTATGTGGTCGGTACGTAGGACATAAGCAGGGAAGTTGTTACCATTTTCCGGGGAGTCCACTATGATAGTGTCGCCAGCTATGTTTACTGTTTCAATGCTGACATTATCAGTAGTAAAGTGATCCATGGTGCCTTCCTGCAGGTGGGTAAGATTGTCAGTGGACACCACCACAGCACCATTCTCTCTTACAGTGACAAGTGCAGGCTCATGACGTGCCATTATCAGTTGAGGGGGTGACTGAGTGCGTGATGTGCGTGGCTTGGGCGGAATGGGTGGTGGCACAGCTGTAGAGCTTGAGCCACCCACATCCACACTACTGATGCGGGGTGCAACAGTCACAGTCACTCCTCTCCTACCAACTTCGTCAACCATTCCAGCTTCAATTTCACTGTCACTGCTCAGACTACTACGACTGCTGCTACAGCTGCTGCTGGTCACCATTTTCTGGATTTGAGGTGTCTGCTGAGAGGTTACGTGGCGAAGCTGAACGCTAAAACTGCTGATTTTTCTCTCATGTGGTGAAGGTGGATGTGCCTGTACCACCACCACGCGGTCCTCAGCTGTGGTGACAGGAGTGACCTCAACAGCCCCTCCCATTATTGTTGTGTCACCATCAAGAAGTGTTATAGTGGTGCCACCCACAGGAGCAGGTCTGGCTGCTAATGCTGGGGAGTCCTCACAATTGATTGCACTGTGCTGCAAACTGATGCTGTTTTTTGAAGTCTCTGATGCTGTCACCCACTGGCTTGAGATATCTGTGACTGATGTTGAACCACTAATTTCAATGTGAGATATAGGTTCACCTTCAGGTTCCATCACACATGTAGATATGGCATCATCTAAATTCCCATTACTGTTTCTTCTGTAGAGAAGTGCCTGCTCAAGAGTACCCCACTGCTCTGCACGTCGTAGTCCAGTCCCGCCCTCTACTCGCAATCCCACCCGAACCCCCTCTTCCTCTTCTATGGAAGTTGCAGATGAATCTGGAAGTTGCAGACGATGTGGACGGTGAAGCCCTGAGGCATTATCTATTGCGACAGTTGCTTTAGCTCTTGTCAGATCTAAGGACATGGCACGTTCCAGCACAACATTGACTGTGTCGGGCTCCACATGTAGGCGGGAAAGATCTCCCAAAGAAGCTGCTTTTCGTTTCAGTTCTTCGGAGTCTGTAGGTGGTCGCTTTGGTGTAGATGACGTTACTGGTTCTATGTGAGCTCTAATAATAGCCCGTTCTCCTTCACTGTCTGAGGCGATGGAGACTTCATCATTAAAAGACATTAATGGGACTCGTCGCTCAAGTACTGTTCTCTGCATCACTTCTACTACTTCTGCAGCTCCTACAGGAGGCTGGTAGGACTTGAGTTTTACTTCGCGCACCACAACATTGCTCCGAGCAGCAGGGATAGGGGCATGAGGAGGTTCAGGGGCACGGCGCTTAGATGGGGCAGAATCAACTTCATCAGGCTGTGAGGAGGTGTATGTCGCCAGTAGTGGGGGTAAGACCACATCCACCTGTCGTGATGTTGCCTCCACCATCTCGTTCACCTCAACATCAACAGGTCGTTCATTAATGGTTATTTCTGTCATCCCTGTGGCCACTTGGCGACTCCTCCCTCTGTTACGTTTTCTCTTCTTTAATTCCGTTGGAGTTTCATCCTTTTCATCAGAGCTTGATGAAGTACTGGATGAAGATGAGCTACACGTTTTCTCTTGTCGTTTTCGTCTATTTTCTTTAGCCGCTGCAGCAGCAAGAGCTAAGGCATTCTCTTCTGATGTATTGAGAACCTCTTCATCTTCTTTCTTGTTCTTTTTCTCCTTATCTTTCTTTTTCTTGGCATTCTTTTTCCGCTTGGCTTCATTTGTTCCTGGATGGTCATTGACAGCCCCCTCACGTGTTGCCTCATCTTCACTAGAGTGACTGTCATGTCGCATGCGGTTAAATTCTGTTTGGATTTTTCCCTTGAGATTCTTGAAGCCTTTAAAGCCTAAACGGATGCCTTTGCTTTTGTGTTCCTTAACTTTTTCATCACCACCACGAGTGTCATAATCTACCCGTTCCTCTGTCTCAACTCCCTCAGAATCAGAAGTACTTCTCCCACTTCGGTTTCTGAATGTAAAGCCCAATCCTTTTTGCGTCTTTGCTCGTGGGGCATCATCGCCACGAGTGTCCAGAGAACGCCTCTCATCTGCATCTCCTCCCTCAGAATCTGATCTCGTATCATATTTGCCTTCATTCTTGCCAAAGCCTTTTAAACCAAAATTAAGGCTGGATTTGGTTTTGACTTTAATTTCTTCTTCAGCGTCTGGTTGGTCCCGGCGCATCGCCTCAACCTCTGCCTCCCCGCTTTCCATGTCAGAGTTCTTGTTTTTGCTCTTGAAACCAAAGCTGAGACTTGGCTTGAGTTTATGCTTGATGCTACCAGACTCGGCATGAGGGTCAGTACCCACTCGTTCTTGGTCATTGTTATCTTCCGAGTCGGAGCTTCTGTTGCCTCTCCCCTTAAATCCAAAATTTAATCCTCCCTTCACCCTCGGTCGAGGTTTATCATCCTCACCCTCTTTGTCCATTGGTGCCCCTGAGACTTTTTCTACATGTTCTTCTTCAGTGTCAGAGGATCGTGAAAAGCCTTTAAATCCAAAGCTCATCTTACCACGACCTTTCTTTTTGTCATCCTTAACTTCAGGCCGATCGGGATCAGGTGTCAGGGAAGTGGGTTCTCGTGAATCCTCCTCACTGTCTGATGATCGGTTAAAGCCTCGAAATCCAAATCCAAGGCCAAATTTGTGCTTTGATTTTGTCTTCTCGTCATCTTCTTCATCTTTAAACTTTGATTTTCCTTTTATTTTGTCCCCTTCATCATCATCTGTGGTGACAACTGGAATAGCAGGAGCTTTTGCTCTAAGTCTGACCTGTGTGCTCTCCCCAACACCTGCAAACTTGCTGCTTTTGATGTGGAAACCTTCAGGGGTAGCTAATGATGTCTGAGGCTCAGTCAGTGTAACAGTAACACCAGAATGTCTGGTATTTGGTGTTGATGCATCAGTGGATGCATCTAGTATCTCCTTTTTCATAGCAGCAACAGTGCCCTCGGGGATGGCTACGGCAGGACTCTCAACTTTAGCTTCAATACTCCTGGAATTAATATCAGGTTCTACAGTCAGGATGCCGCTGTCTCTAGGCTCAAGACCGATGTGTTTCTTAAAGCCTTTAAATCCAAACGCCATACCAAACCCAGGGGAGAGTCTGGCATTCTCCATCTCTATCAAAGAACTGCTTCCTTCTGTCTTGGGTTGCTCCCCCTCTAAACTCATTCCAGAATATCTGGCTTCCAAAACCCTAGACTGTAGATCCACTTCTGGTAAATCAATTTTGGCTTTCTTGAGGTCAATATCAACCTCTGGCAAATCACACTCGTCAAAACCTGGCACTTCAATACCAAAATTGCGAGACAGGAGTTCATTTTCAATCTCCATTGCCAGGCCACTAGCGTGAGACTTGACCACTTTGCCGCCACTAATGCCTACTGCATTTTGGTCAAATTCAGGGCTGTTTTCCCCAGACATGTGAGATTCTTTGGTTCTCTCACCCTTCTGACCTAAATGGAGATCCCAGTCAGGTAAGCTAATATCAGGAGTATTTAGGTTGAATCCGAAGCCTGATTTTCCTTTTTTCTTTGGAGCATTGAGGACATCATCATCATCATGGGTAATTTCCATCTTAGCAGATGGAATATCAGCATCTTGGAGGTTCATACTAATGTTCTGGTTGTGCAAATAAACAGAAGCATCTTGGTTACTGGCTACACTAACTGATCCAGCTGATAATGCTGGTACAGTCACACTTGGAGGATGGAATTGAAGGCTCACACTCTGCTCTTTACCCAAAATTAATTTGGTGTCATTATTGTTCTTGTTGACTTGACTCCCAAAGTTTGGGAAAGTTATGTCAGGAGTATTTAAAGAAATTCCTAGAGAGTGCTCACCTTTTTGTTTTAAGGCAGCCTCATTTTTGCCTGTTTCTGATGAATTTAATGCTTCCTTTTCTTCAGACAAAATTACATTAACTTTAGATACTTTGACATCAGGTCCTCTGAAATTTATATCAAATCTTTCCTTGCTAATGTTATCAAAATTAGAGGTATCTATGTTACCTCTATATTCTTGGCTATTTAAAGACAAGCCCTGAATGTGTCCTTCAGGACCTTGGATTCCAAAGCTGAGTCCACTATTGGGTTTACCTTCCAGTGAATATTTCTCTCTCTCTTGTAGGCTTTCATGCCCACTGCTTTTCAAATTTATATTTGGAAGATTAACTTCAGGTCTCTTGCTTCCAAAGTTAAATCGTTTTTCATTTTTCACGACTTCATTGTGTGTCATTTCGTCGTCCGACTTGCCTTGATCCCTCTCTTCTCCACGACCTCTCAAGTTAAAGCTCGGTATATTTATATCAGGACCTTTAAAGCCAAAGTTAATGCCTTTATTTAACTTTTTGTCTTCATTTTCATCAGGTTCTTTTTCATAATCATTTTGTCCAAGTTGACCAGAAACTTTCAAGTTTGAACTGGGCACGCCAACTTCGGGACCCCTAAGTTTAATGTTGAAATTTCTTTTAGATTCTGGTTCCTGCTCATCATAGTTAATGTCTTTGTTATCTGTCTCATGATATCCACTACTTCTCAAGATCATGCCAGGAAGACTCACCTTAGGACCTTTCAGTCCAAAGCTGAAGCCTTTCTTTGAAGTTTTGTCTATGTCAAATTCTTTCTCACCAGCATCTATGCTTGCTTCTTCAGCACCTCTTAAATTTAAACTAGGGAAGCTAACATCAGGGCCTTTAAATCCAAAACTTAACCCTCTGTTTGACTTATCTTGATCATCCCAATCCACTTGTTCATCATTTCTTCGTGTAGTCTCGATGTCTGGCTGACCATGAGCTCTCACATCTACTGAAGGTATGCTTATGCTGGGACTTTTCAGTGCCATGTTAAAGCTCTTAGCAGTCCCAAGATCCATTTCCTTCCTGTGTGAGTAGCTGGTTTTATCATCATCTGTGTTAGCTTCCACACTGCTTTTTATGCCTATACTTGCCATCTTGACATCAGGACCCTTCAGATTGACATTTGGCATCGTAACATCAGGGCCCTTGAATCCAAAGCTGAAGCCTTTTTTAGACTTTTTATCTTTGTCATTCTCACCATGTGTCTCTTCATCATCATCCCCATATCCATGACCTTTCAAACTCATGCTGGGCATTTTAATATCTGGTCCCTTTAGCCCAAAGCTAAATGCTGTCATGGATTTTTTATGAATATCTTTGCTATCTTCAACATCTGATTCATTGTTTCCATCACCATGTTCAGAGCCTTTCAAATTAACACTTGGAAGGCTAATGTCTGGGTGTTTCAAACCAACCGTAAATCCCTCATGGGTTTGGTGATCTTTGTGTTTATTTCTTAATTCAGCTCTTGACTCTTCCTTGTCTTCCGAATCACCAGAGACTCTCGTACTTAACGAGGGAAGACTTACCATTGGACTCGTAATATCATATCCTAAATTAATCTTTGACCCACCCATTTTATCTGTATTATCTTCTTTGTCCGAATCTTGGCCTTCTTCTCCATCTCTATGAGCTTTTAAGGTAAAACTGGGTAGGCTAATATCAGGACCCTTGAACCCAAAACTGAAGCCTTTCTTTGACTTTTTATCTTTGTATTTATCATCTTCATTATCTGATTCTTTGCTTTCACCTTCAATCCCATGGGTGCTTCCCTTCAAGCTCATGCTGGGTACGTTAACATCCGGACCCTTGAATCCAAAACTGAAGCCTCTCTTTGACTTCTTATCTTCATCTTTGCCATCTTCATTTTCTGGCTCTTCATTTCCATCTTCCATTCTGTGAGCACTTCCTTTGAGACTCACACTGGGTAAATTAACATCCGGACCCTTGAATCCAAAACCGAAACCTTTCTTTGACTTCTTATCTTTGTATTTATCATCTTCATTATCTGATTCTCTACTTTCACCATCCATCTCATGGGTGCTCCCCTTCAAGCTCATGCTGGGTACGTTAACATCTGGACCCTTGAATCCAAACTTGAAGGCTTTCCTTGACTTCTTGTCTTCGTCTTTGCCATCTTCATTATCTGACTCTTTGTTTTCATCTTCTGTTCCAGGAGCGCTGGCCTTGAGACTCATGCTAGGTAGATTAACATCTGGACCCTTAAATCCAAAACTGAAGCCTTTCTTTGACTTTTTATCTTTATCTTTGCCATCTTCAACATCTGATTCTCTGTTTTCACCTTCCATTTCATGGCTGCTTTCCTTCAAGCTCACGCTGGGTAAGTGAACGTCTGGACCCTTAAATCCAAAACTGAAGCCTTTCTTTGACTTCTTATCCTTGTCTTTGCCAGCTTCTTCTTCATCTGATTCTCTGTGTTTGCCTTCCATCTCGTGGGTGCTCCCCTTCAAGCTCATGCTCGGTAAATTTATATCTGGACCCTTGAATCCAAAACCAAATCCTTTCTTCTTTTTATCATTGTCTTTGCCATCTTCGTTATCGGATTCTCTGTTTCCCATTTCCATCCCATGGCTGCTTCCCTTCATGCTCACACTGGGTAAGTTAACGTCTGGACCCTTGAATCCAAAGCTGAAGCCTTTCTTTGACTTCTTATCCTTATCTTTGTCATGTTCATCATTATCTGATTCTCTGTTTTCACTTTCCATTTCATGGCTGCTTTCCTTCAAGCTCACACTGGGTAAGTTAACGTCTGGACCCTTGAATCCAAAGCTGAAGCCTTTCTTTGACTTCTTATCCTTATCTTTGTCATGTTCATCATTATCTGATTCTCTGTTTTCACCTTCCATTTCATGGCTGCTTTCCTTCAAGCTCATGCTGGGTAAGTTAACGTCTGGACCCTTGAATCCAAAACTGAAGCTTTTCTTTGACTTTTTATCCTTATCTTTGCCATCTTCTTCATCATCTGATCCTCTGCTTTTGCCTTCAGTTTCATCGGTGCTTCCTTTCAAGCTCATGCTGGGTAAGTTAACGTCTGGAGCCTTGAATCCAAAATTGAAGCCTTTCTTTGACTTCTTATCCTTATCTTTGCCATCTTCATCATTATCTGATTCTCTGTTTTCGCCTTCTATCTCGTGGCCGCTTTCTTTCAAGCTCATGCTGGGTAAGTTAATGTCTGGACCTTTGAATCCAAAACTGAAGCCTTTCTTTGGCTTTTTATCTTTGTCTTTGCCATCTTCGTTATCGGATTCTCTATTTTCCATTTCCATCCCATGGCTGCTTCCCTTGACGCTCACACTGGGTAAGTTAACGTCTGGACCTTTGAATCCAAAACTGAAGCCTTTCTTTGACTTCTTATCTTCGTGTTTGCCATCTTCGTCATCTGACTCTTTGTTTTCATCTTCCATCCCATGAGCGCTGGCCTTGAGATTCATACTGGGCAGATTAACATCTGGACCCTTGAATCCAAAACTGAATCCTTTCTTTGGCTTCTTGTCCTTGTCTTTGCCATCTTCATTATCTGATTCTCTGTTTTTGCCTTCCATCTCATGGGTGCTCCCCTTCAAGCTCATGCTGGGTAAGTTAACATCTGGACCCTTGAATCCAAAACTAAAGCCTTTCTTTGACTTTTTGTCTTTCTCCTCTTCATTATCAAACTCCATTTTATCTTTCACTTCATCGTGCCCTCTTAAACTAATGCTCGGTACACTAATATCTGGGGCTTTTAGTCCAAAACTGAAATCTCTTACTGATTTGTTGTCCTTTTTGTTGCTATCTTTATCATCTGCTTCCTCTTTCTCAGACTCCTTTCCATCACCATGACCCCGCAATCGGACATTAGGAACATTTATATCTGGGCCTCTGAATTCTAGCCCGAAACCTTTCTTTAGCTTCGTATCTCTGTCAGACATACGTTTCTCCTCATCCTCTAAGAGACTACTACTAACTTCCAAGCTTGCATCTGGCAAGGTGACATCTGGTCCCACTAGCCCCAAGCTAAAGCCTTTTCTGTTGCCACCCTTGCTGCTTTCCTCATCTAGTTCAGGCTTTCCTTTTAAATCTACTTGTTCTCTACCACTCATAGAGAAGCTTGGTAGGTTAATATCAGGACCTTTGAACCCAAACCCAAAGCCTTTCTTTGATTGTTCCTTCTCCGTTTCATCTTCCCCAGCAAATTCTTTGTTTCCTTCTCCATGGCTTTTTAAGGTCATGCTGGGCATATTAACATCTGGGCCTCTGAAGCCAAAGCTGAAGCCTTTTTTGGACTTCATACCTTTTTCTGCATTATCTTCTTCTTCAGCTGATTCATCTATTTCATGTTCATTTCCTTCCCCTTGACCTTTTAAGCTCATGCTGGGTAAGTTAGTGTCAGGACCCTTAAATCCAAAGCTGAAACCTTTCCTGGACTTCTTACTCTTTTCTGCATTACCTTCCTCGTTTAGTTCATCTATTACGTGTTCATTTCCTTCCCCGTGACCTTTTAAGCTCATGCTAGGTAAGTTAACATCTGGGCCCTTAAAGCCAAAATTAAAGCCTTTCTTGGACTTCTTGTCTTTGTTTTTGATGTCAGCATTATCTGACTCAACATCTATGCCATCATGTCCATGAGCACCACTGCTTTTTAGACTCACACTAGGCACGTTAATGTCTGGCCCCTTAAATCCAAAACTGAAGCCTTTCTTTGACTTCTTATCTTTGTCTGTTTTATCTTCATCTGATTCAACCTTTTCTTCATTTCCTTCCCCATGGGTTCTTAAGCTCACACTTGGTAAATTCACATCGGGGCCCTTGAATCCAAAGCTGAAGCCTTTCTTGGATTTCTTATCTTTTTCAGGGTTATCTTTGTCCGATTCCTCTTTTTCTTGCTCATTTCCTTCCCCATGATTTTTTAAGGTCATGCTGGGTAAATTGACATCTGGACCCTTAAAGCCAAAGCTAAAGCCTTTCTTAGCCTTCTTACCCTTTTCTGCATTACCGTCTTCATCTGATTCATCTATTTCATGTTCATTTCCTTCCCCATGACCTTTTAAACTCATGCTGGGTAAATTAACATCCGGGCCCTTAAAGCCAAAGCTGAAGCCTTTCTTAGGCTTCTTACCCTTTTCTGCATTACCTTCTTCGTCTGATTCATCTATTTCATGTTCATTTCCTTCTCCTTGACCTTTTAAACTCATGTTGGCTAAGTTAATGTCAGGACCCTTAAATCCAAAGCTGAAACCTTTCCTGGACTTCTTACTCTTTGCTTCATCATCTGAATCCCTGATATCTTGTTCTATTTCCTGAGCGCTTCCTCTTAGACTCACACTTGGAAAGTTTACATCTGGACATTTTACACCCAAACTGAGGTCAGTCTTTGACTTATCACTGTCTTTCTCCTCTGGGTCTTCATTTTCTTCATTATCACCCTGTCCATGGCCTCTTAAACTAATGGATGGTAAACTCATGTCTGGCCCCTTGAGTCCAAAGCTGAAGCCTTTCTTGGATTTGCCATTAGTTTTATCCTGATCATCTGAATCTGCCTTTTGTTCTTTATCTCCATCCCCATAACCTTTTAGACTTAAGCTGGGTAAACTAATCTCTGGTCCTTTGAATCCAAAACTCAGACCTTTCTTGACCTTCTTTTCCTTATCATTATCATCATCATCATCATTCTGGTCACGATGGCCTTTGTCTCTTTTTTCAGCAGTTATATCAACAGAGGGAAGACTGAAGTCAGGACCCTGAAGATCAAGATTTATGTCTTTTTTGGAGATGCTGTATTTGTCAGACGTTCTCTCTAGATGCTTAGGTAGTTCAACCTCACCTTCATGTCCTTCTCCACGACCCCTCCAGTTTATACTTGGAAGATTTATGTCTGGAGCCTTTAATACGATGCTACCATCATCAGGTTCAGCTGTATCTCCATGTGCCTTCAAAGACACACTTGGGACGTCAATGTTCGGACCTTTCAGTTCTACGCTGTAATTTCTGTTACTTTTCTTATCCTCATTACCTTCATTATCTGAATTCTCATTTCCAGTCCCTTCAGCATGGCCTCTTAGACTTATGCTTGGCAAGTTAAATTCTGGAGCTTTAAGACCCAAACTGAAGCCCTTTTTGTTCTTTTTAGTTTTCTTTTTGCCACTATCATCATCTGATGTATTTTCCATTTCTTCATGAAGTTCACTAACTTCAGCCTTGCCTTTAAGCTCTACATCTGGAAGTTGTATATTAGGGCCTTGTAACCCTGCATGAAGACTTATATTTTTGCCATTATCCTTGATTTTGGAGTTGTCAGAGTCTTTACCCAAGTGCTTATCGCCTCCACCTCGGCCTCCTACACTGAAGCTTGGCAGGCTAAAATCTGGAGCCTTAAGACCAAAGCTAAAGCCCTTATTCTTTTTGTCACTATTATCATCAGAGTCATGGCTGGCTTCGGCCTCACCAAGAGCTTGCAAATCCACATTGGGAAGAGTAACTTCTCCAGGTTTATAGCTTATACTGGTTCTATTTTGTACATTAATATCTGGCATTTGATCAGTAGCTTTAATTGCTAAATCTCCCTCAGCATTAGTCTTTCCTCTCTTAAAACTAAGATCTGGTAAGCTGATATCAGGCACGTTCATCCTGAAGGCTAAACCACCACTGTCAATTTCGTCCTTATCACTCTCATTCATGCTCTCTGTCTTTGAGTCATTTTCCTTATCCTTGTTTCTCGCTTCTCCCCTTAAACTGAACTGTGGCATAGATATTTCTGGTGCTTTGAAGTTAATTCCAAAGCCTGGACCTTCTTTAGATTTTGAGGACTGTTCACTATCATCACCACCAGATGCCTTTTTCGCACGTTCAAAGTCAACGATGGGCAGGTTAACGTCTGGTACATCAACACTTACCCCAATTGTGTTTTTGGACTTTACTTTCTCTTCATCTGAGGCAGCGGTGTGATCATCATCATCATCTTTGCCAAGTCCTTTAAAGCCAAAACCAAAGTCCTTTAGACCTAGGCCTTTGGATTTTCTTGAGTCTTTTTCATTTGCTTTTGCCCCTGTCTCATCTACATTTTCAGATTCTGAATTCTGACCTTTGCTGAAGCCTTTGAGGCCAAAACCAAAACCGAATGAACCTTTTGCCTTCTGTTTCTCATCATCAGTTTTGGGTTCATGAGATATCTTATCTTGATCTATACTAGTATTAACAGATAGGTCTGTAGCAGGCAAGGACACACTAATATTCTCCTCACCCACAACCTTTACCTGGCCACCCTCAGGCATGCCTCTCACCTTACCACTCACCTTGCCGGCCTCACCCTTCATATCACCCAGCTTCATTTGTGGAAGCTTAACCCCAAACTTTACACCTGCTGTCTTCTTGTTTACAGCATCTAGGCCATCAATCCCTGCCAATGGGTCGACCTCTCTTTCAACGCTGATTTGTGGTTGTGGCAGGCTGAGGGAAGGCAAACTCACCTCTCCCGATACCTTTCCCCCTGCTTCCAAGTCCAGATCCTGCTTTGGCACTTTTCCGGTCAAGTCGGGCAACACTTTGATGCCAAACTTTAATCTTGAATCAGATTTTTCCGGATGTAGTTCTGAAATATCGGCTGTTATGGTGTGAGAAGGCTTTGTGACCAAGACATTTGGAATGTTGACCACGGCTCCTGGAACGTCAATAGCCCGCTCAGAGTGTCGCTCGGGGGCCTCCCGCTTGACAAGGGCAGCAGCATTCATCCTGGGAGGAATGGCAGTAGGTAGACCAATGCCAGGAGTGAGCCTGAGGTTGGGCAGCTCCACCCTGCCGCTCACTAGATCTGGGCGGGGCACCTCCGATATGCCAGCTCGTCCCTCGTATACCCGTGCTCGGCTGACTCTCCACATGTCCGCCTTACCAATCTGCAAATGTTCACCTGAGTTGAAAACCATTCTCATGCATATAACATGTATGTTCTCGTAAAATTCATGTTACTGAGAGATCTAGTGTTAATTATTGTTGATCAAATAATGTGTATCATATAAGATAAATGTAAGAGTTCTTGTACATGACCCCAATGTATTTTCTGATTAAGTGTTTAGTGCATGAATGCATGCTTACTAACATCAGTAATACTATACAGTGAGAAATACAACATGGTATCACACAGGCAATTTCTTTTTAGTGGATGCGTATATGCAAAGTTACTATACAATGCTTGTAACAGCTATTATCCAGCATCAATAACCTTCATCAATGTTAGATGTCAAAACTGATTTTGACTGGACATATCAAGTGGGGTTAGGTCAACACACATATGATACTGATGACATGCTTGTCAAAACAAGCCCCAATCACATCTGGAGTCAAAATTATTTGCAGGGTAACAAAATTGACATGGGATTGTTAGAGTGTTTCCTGAATTTACCTGAGGGCCACTAACACACTAATGGCCTAGACGAGGACTTGAATGAGTTTGGGTGGACATAAATACAAGCTGTCTCGTATGGGTCAATAGGCCTTCTGCAGTTTTATTTATTATTTTTCTTTTGATATATTGAATAGGGTTTGCTCAACAAACCTCAGATCTTGACAGGGGTGTGTTCGGCAACTGCTGAATTGCACGTCGAGTAGAGGCAGAGGGGCAGTGACCTACCTTGGCCAGGTCGTCAATGGACTGACTCCTGTAGAAGGGGTGAACAGGACGGGCCGCAGAAACGTTTGGGAGACGACGTTCGCTCCCAGAGACTGACTTCTCCAGGAGGAGCAGAACAGGATATGGCGAGGCATAACTGAGGAGGGTAAGAGCATCCTCGTGTACCATGTGTTCTGTGCTGACAGCTAGCCCCAGCACCCGGTCACCTGGTGAACACAAGAGCTTATTAATCCCTGAAAGTAAGGTAAGGTGATTATCAGGAGAAAGCACTTAGCCATTATGACTAGCACTTGGAAGGGCTATGAAGATAAGGATTTAGGATAGGATGGAGGAAGTGAATGGCACCCACCTACTGTACTTAGATAGTCGGGAATTCAATGCTGACCTGTAAGAAGAAAAACCCTATGCTCTACCATCCAGTCATAGTGGTTGGGCCGGAGAACACTCATTTATTAATATTAATAATATTAACACCTGATGATCAATTAGTTTTGCATATATTGTGGGGAAAATTGCATGAACTGATAATGCAAATGTCCTCCACAAATACTGTATCTTGAATAACAAGGTTTAATAAAGGTTTCTCAGCATGGTTTCACTAAGGGCTGTGCTTGTTTAATAAATTTACTGTTATTCTTTTCCAGCATATCTGAAGCAATCAATAATGCAAAAGATTGACATTGTGTATGTAGGCTTATGAAGGCCTCTCATACCGTAATTAATCCATAAAAGATTGCTAAGAACCTAAGGGTTTATGATCTTGAAGATAATACCTTAAATTAAATAACTATTATTTACCTGAGGGCCACTATCTCTAGCGACCTCGATGGAGACAAGAATATGGAGGCTTGTTTAAGTTTCCTCCATTATGCCTGAGAATTTTTTTCAACTGGATTTTAGATTAGACTTCTGTCTTTGCATTTACAGGTTACATCAAATTGCAATTTCATGGGTTTATTACCCTATGGTGAAAACCATCACCTGCTTTGTCCTACATTGTGGCTTGTTGAGCTTGAAGTTGTTGCCCACCCCCCCCATGTGTGAGATACATTAGACCTTTGAATGAAGCGGGTTGGATAAATCTCTTAAAGTTTATTCAGTATTTTAAATTTATTGGTGAGATTAGTTCTGTTGTGTCTGGTTTATAGTGCTATTAGTCGTGAGGTCCTCAACCATTGGTGGTATGAGAGTTGGCCTAGTTTTAGCATAAATATTGTTTTGCATTTAACTTTTCCAAAGAAGTTATATCCCTTTTAGGCCTCCATGCTTGGATATAGTAATCCAGAAGGGTGCACACCAGAGATTTACAGCTGAATAGCCACATTATTTTTCTAGAAATCAAAGCATTTTATTATACCTAAGGTTTGGTTGGCATTTTTTTTTACAGTAGCTCCTATGTGCTGAGCAACTCCTGAAGACTGGTGGGATCATAACTTCTAGACGGTTCTTTTCTTTATCAATCTGCTGCATGGTTGTGCTGTTGATATGATAGTTATGATGGGTATTGTTATGCCCTACAAGCAAGATCTTGCAATTTTCAATATTGAAAAGCATTTGTCAGTCTTCTGACTAATTGTGGAGTTCATAAAGTATGATTTGCACTGCATCAGTGTTATGTAATAATAATAATAATAATAATAATAATAATAATAATAATAATAATAATAATAGTATTTTATTTACAATTAGATTACAGTAGTTACATAGTAGCTGCAGTATTTGTATATTTTATAAAGCCACTAATGGGCATAATTTAAGATAAAATGTGTATTGTACATTTTTGGGGTAATACTGAATACTATGTTAGATGTAAGCAAATAAACTTTATTGGTCCTGCAGCACAGTAGTCTACATCCACAGATCATAACCAAGGATCCTGGGCTCGATACCTGGGTGGGACTATGTTGATAAAGTTTCTTTTCACCTGATGCCTCTGTTCACTTAGAAATAAGTACTGTACTACTATACATGACCTCCACAAGTGACCATAAGACTATCAAATGGTTTTCAATATTGAAAAATGCAAGATGTTGCATGTAGGGTTTAACAATGCTGTTACGGTATCTCCACCTTCATTGGACTATGAAGGTGGTTTCGGCGCCATCTGTGGGTGTTTCGGTGCCTGTTCACCGAGCAGTAAGTAGGTACTCAGAAGTTAGTCAGCTTGTTGTGGGGTTGTATCCTGAGCAGGGTCAGTAATTCGACCTGGGGGGGGAAGGCTTCGATAGTAGTGTAGTGTAGGGTAAAGCTCTGATAAAAGCCTAACGTGTATGAATACATTCTGGCTTCCTGTCCTCCAACACAAGAATTGTTATGATATTAAGTGGGTAGTATGTGTTATCTCGTGCTTGCGTATGCCTCCAAAGTATAGAAAATGACTATTATTTTCAGCAAACCTTGTTTGTAACCAGAACAGTGATACTGTATTTTAAATTTACTGTTTTCCAGAACATTCCAGATATGGAATTCCTGAAGGGTCTCCATGGCTGTTTTATCAGGTTTACCACCCATGTTTGTCTTTGGGACAGCAGGTCACCATCACAGCCACGACTGACCACAACAAACATTGTTCTGTGTGGAGAGGAACGTCAAGTGGGAGCCTCTGGAAGGTTCTAATCTCATCACCGCACATCAAATTGGGCCTCGTGGAACAATGTGTCACAACTCTAGATAACGAGTTGGCAACCTTTAAGTACCTTCAAGACTTCTTCCCTAAGCTACTGAAGCAAGGTTTAAAGCCGGTATTTTTGTGGGACCACAAATAAGATCCTGGAATGCAAGATGCTGGAACACCTTTGTCGCAGTGGCCTGGGGCTTCCTTGGCAGTCACAAGGACACAACTACGTGGAGCAAGTTGAGACCCTGGTGAAGAACTCCAGCATAATGGGCAGCAAGATGTCTGTCCCTCCAAGTCCATGTCTTGGGTGATCATCTTGATAAATTGAGGGAGAGAATGGGAGCACAATCGGAGGAGCAAGGCGTGCACCTGCTCCAGGATGTACCGCACGGTGAGAGGTTAGTTCATTTATTATGCACCCCATACCCATTTTGTGGGCGGTGGTGGAAAGGGTTACAGAGGCACATAATGGGCTCAGGGACTGAACCCCACAATTCATTTAGCTAAGCAAGTTACAATCTTGATGAGCTAGTTACAAAATTCAATGCACATCGTCACATCATCAATGGGCTCGAGATCGACCTCAAGTACAAGTTCTAAATTAAGCAACTGACATATGTGGAGAGCTAGTGTCACAATTGATATGTTTGTCCTGCACACCGCCCCCCATCCAGTGGGCAGCGGTGGATAGGTTACAGTCACTCAGTTACTACCTACAGTTAGCAAACTGGGGATATTTGGCTAAGATTTCTGGTACCAGATCATTTTGAATTAAATATTTACACATTTCTGGAACATTTGTTATAGAATTGTCTCTGAATTCACGTATCTTTTCGCACTCCATCACATAGTGACGGAGGGTGTGTGAATAATTTTGTTGACACAGTTTACATTTGGTCAGGTCTACATCAGCAGGTAATGAGAATTCCCAGAGATGGTCACTATCAAGGAGAGAATAATGAGACCATGATGGGAGACTGACTACTGTACGTTTCGGGCGTTTCTGCCCGAAAAGCTATGCGTGTTAGTGGCTCTACAAGAATGTAAAACTTTAAGTCTCTGTACTCTAATAAACCCAATGTACCTTCTTGTATATAAATAAATAAATACTGTACATTTGGCGGCTGATTCACGAAAGTACAAGAAAATAAACACAATTTGCGAGGCAGGTAATTACCATAAACAGTATTACCAAACAGGAATGAACCAAAAACAGTGTTACCAGAGAAGGAAGAGCCAAAAGAGCATTACCAGGCGGAGGAAAGCCACAGAAGAATATTACCATACTGTGGCAAGGTAAGACAAGATGGCTGACCTGGAGCGATGTTGCCAGACTCTGAGGCTGGACCTCGGTGCAGGACGTCCCTGACGTAGATGCCGTCCCTCATGTTCCCGGAGATGTTGAAGCCTAGTCCAGTGAAGTCATGACCGCGAAGAGGCACCGCCACCACCGTCGGCTCCTGCAACACCACACATTATTACTGCTATATCTTGCACCGGACCCTTGTCGTGAACACGAATCGACCAGATTCACGAAGCAGTTACAAGCACTTACGAACCTGTACATCTTTTCTCAATCTTTGGCGGCTTTGCTTACAATTATTAAATAGTTAATGAGCTCCGAAGCACCAGGAGGCTGTTTATAACAATAACAACAGTTGATTGGGAAGTTTTCATGCTTGTAATAAATGTAACCAAAGCCGTCAAAGATTGAGGAAAGAGGTACACGTTCGTAAGTACTTGCGTAAGTGCTTCGTGAATCTGGCCTAGGCCAACCGATGCGACCTTCCTTAGCAAGCAACGTTAAACATCATCACACACTCATTAGTATTACCCTAAAATGTAAATAAATATAAGTACACTCATTATCTTGAGCTCGCGTCCAAAATGTTGCATGTAATTATGACTATATATGTACAAACACTGTACCTGCTAAATATTTTTATCTGACCCTTTGCATATTTTGTTAGTAAAATATATTATTATTACCAATTTCAAACATACTTCATCTTGTGTATATATATATATATATATATATATATATATATATATATATATATATATATATATATATATATATATATATATATATATATATATATATATATATATATATATAGTTTTTATATACAAGAAGGTACAGTGGGTTGTGGAAGCAGACATGTTGACGATTATGTTTTGCCCCAAACGCGATGCGTATTAGTGGCTTTAGGTATTGTATGTACTAGCTCTATCTATAAATTGACACACACTAGAAGGTGAAGGGACGACGACGTTTCGGCCCGTCCTGGACCATTCTCAAGTCGATTACTTAAGCCACGTTATTGTGCCTATCTATAAATCCAACATTATGTTTGTAATTCATCTTCTGTGTATGTACTTTAATAAGAATTTGAATTTAAATGTGCGTCTAGATTCTCGCGCAGCCACTAAGGGCAGCGTTTCAGGCAGCGGGTCCCTTTAGCTAACATCTCTTGGAGTGATATATTGTAACAGATTTTGAAGTCCCATAACAACTACCTCAGCATAAATTGATCAAATAAATTATATTCCCACTCAGGGGAACAGAAAACATTTATCTTTTAAAATAAGATTTATAGGTTAATATTTCTGGCATCATCTTGATGGCTAAGATGGTCAATACAAGTGTTGCCCCCCCCCAGGGTCTCCATCTTGATGGCTAAGATGGTCAATACAAGTGTTGCCCCCCCCAGGGTCTCCATCTTGATGGCTAAGATGGTCAATACAAGTGTTGCCCCCCCCCAGGGTCTCCATCTTGATGGCTAAGATGGTCAATACAAGTGTTGCCCCCCCCCAGGGTCTCCATCTTGATGGCTAAGATGGTCAATACAAGTGTTGCCCCCCCCCCCCCCAGGGTCTCCATCTTGATGGCTAAGATGGTCAATACAAGTGTTGCCCCCCCCAGGGTCTCCATCTTGGTGGCTAAGATGGTCAATACAAGTGTTGCCCCCCCCCAGGGTCTCCATCTTGGTGGCTAAGATGGTCAATACAAGTGTTGCCCCCCCAGGGTCTCCATCTTGGTGGCTAAGATGGTCAATACAAGTGTTGCCCCCCCCCAGGGTCTCCATCTTGATGGCTAAGATGGTCAATACAAGTGTTGCCCCCCCCCAGGGTCTCCATCTTGATGGCTAAGATGGTCAATACAAGTGTTGCCCCCCCCCAGGGTCTCCATCTTGGTGGCTAAGATGGTCAATACAAGTGTTGCCCCCCCCCAGGGTCTCCATCTTGGTGGCTAAGATGGTCAATACAAGTGTTGCCCCCCCCCCCCAGGGTCTCCATCTTGGTGGCTAAGATGGTCAATACAAGTGTTGCCCCCCCCCCAGGGTCTCCATCTTGGTGGCTAAGATGGTCAATACAAGTGTTGCCCCCCCAGGGTCTCCATCTTGATGGCTAAGATGGTCAATACAAGTGTTGCCCCCCCCCAGGGTCTCCATCTTGGTGGCTAAGATGGTCAATACAAGTGTGTTGCCCCCCCCCCCCAGGGTCTCCATCTTGGTGGCTAAGATGGTCAATACAAGTGTTGCCCCCCCCCCAGGGTCTCCATCTTGGTGGCTAAGATGGTCAATACAAGTGTTGCCCCCCCCCCCTCCATCTTGGTGGCTAAGATGGTCAATACAAGTGTGTTGCCCCCCCCAGGGTCTCCATCTTGGTGGCTAAGATGGTCAATACAAGTGTTGCCCCCCCCCCCAGGGTCTCCATCTTGGTGGCTAAGATGGTCAATACAAGTGTTGCCCCCCCAGGGTCTCCATCTTGGTGGCTAAGATGGTCAATACAAGTGTTGCCCCCCCAGGGTCTCCATCTTGGTGGCTAAGATGGTCAATACAAGTGTTGCCCCCCCCCAGGGTCTCCATCTTGGTGGCTAAGATGGTCAATACAAGCGTGTTGCCCCTCCCAGGGTCTCCATCTTGGTGGCTAAGATGGTCAATACAAGTGTTGCCCCCCCCAGGGTCTCCATCTTGGTGGCTAAGATGGTCAATACAAGTGTTGCCCCCCCCCCCCCAGGGTCTCCATCTTGGTGGCTAAGATGGTCAATACAAGTGTTGCCCCCCCCCAGGGTCTCCATCTTGGTGGCTAAGATGGTCAATACAAGTGTTGCCCCCCCCCAGGGTCTCCATGTTGGTGGCTAAGATGGTCAATACAAGTGTTGCCCCCCCCAGGGTCTCCATCTTGGTGGCTAAGATGGTCAATACAAGTGTTGCCCCCCCCCAGGGTCTCCATCTTGGTGGCTAAGATGGTCAATACAAGTGTTGCCCCCCCCAGGGTCTCCATCTTGGTGGCTAAGATGGTCAATACAAGTGTTGCCCCCCCCCGGCAGGGTCTCCATCTTGGTGGCTAAGATGGTCAATACAAGTGTTGCCCCCCCCCCAGGGTCTCCATCTTGGTGGCTAAGATGGTCAATACAACTGTGTTGACCCCCCCCAGGCTCACCATCTTGGGGTCAATACAACACCAGCTGTTAAGTACAAAATCAGTTCATTTTACCTGAGTTTACCTAAAAATCACTAACACTAGTAGCCTCGACGAGGACAGGAAGCCGGCGGCTTGCCAACGGTCCCCCCAGCTTGATTCTTTCAGGCTGGGTTTTAAAATTGAAGTGTTTGATATTGACGGCTTCGGCGGGTAGGCGGTTCCACGCGTCTATAACCCTGTGGTAAAAAACCATCTCCTATTTTAATTCCTACACTGTGGCTTCTTGAGCTGGAACCCGTTGTTCGTGTGTTACATCTGAACTTTTGAAGAACCTGGATCAATATCCTCCAAACTGCAGTAGTCCTCGAAGATCCTGTCATGCTAGGCAGTGTTGTTAGCCCTGAGGCCCTCAACCTGTCCTGGGACGAGAGTTGACTTAGCTCTAGAACGATTTTTGTTGTCCGGTGATGCACTTCTCCAAAGAGTACTAGTGGAGAGAGAGAGAGGAGGGCAAGAGGCTGTGCTGGGGGGGGGGGGGAGCTGTGGCTCAGGCAGCGTGCCGACACGTCCACGGAGGGGGGGGGGGCTTCCCTAGCTGGTAGTGGGTCTACATGTGATGCTGCTGGGGGGGGGGCTATTAGGGGAAAGCGCCAAGCCGCCATGACTATTAGCACTGGGAAGGGGCAGGATAAGGATTTGGGATGGGACGGTGTGGGGGTGGGGGGGGGGGGGGAGGACTGGTGCCCCAATCACTTGTGGACGGTCGGGGATTGAACGTCGACCTGCATGAAGCGAGACCGTCGCTCTACCATCCAGCCCAAGTGGTTGGGCTGATGGGGAGAGGGAGGTGGTGATACTTATAAGGGGGAGGTGGTGATTATTGTGGTGGTGAATGCCCCTGTTACCTAGCAGTAAATAGGTACCTGGGAGTTAGTCAGCTGTCACGGGCTGCTTCCTGGGGGGGGGGTGGAAAAAAAAGTAGTTAGTGTAGTTACTAAACAGTTGATTGACAGTTGAGAGGCGGGCCGAAAGAGCAAAGCTCAACCCCCGCAAACACAACTAGGTGAATACACACACACGCATACGCACACACGCACACACGCACACACACAGGCAGGAATGAAAGTGAAGGTACTCCATTGGATAGAGGAGTACCTAAGCAACAGAAGACAACGAGTCAGTGTGAGGGGTGAGGTCTCGGATTGGCGAGACGTCACAAGTGGAGTCCCACAGGGGTCAGTCCTTAGACCTATACTGTTTCTGATATATGTAAAGGATCTCCCAGAGGGTATAGATTCGTTCCTCTCAATGTTTACTGATGATGCAAAAATTATGAGGAGGATTAAGATGGAGGAAGATAGTATGAAGCTACAAGATGACCTAGACAAATTGAACGAATGGACCAACATATGGCTACTAAAGTTCAACCCGAGTACCCATGTCTGGACCGCAAGTACTAACGAACGTGTTCATCTTTCCTCAATCTTTGACGGCTTTGGTTACATTTATTAAACAGTTTACAAGCATGAAAACTTCCCAATCAACCGTTGTTATTGTTACAAACAGCCTCCTGGTGCTTCGGAGCCAACCTGTGCTCGTCTCAAGTCCATTCCATCCAGCGATCGACCCCACAGACGCATTTATCAATTTTAACATGCTGTCCATTCAAAATGGGAATTTTCTCAAATATAAATTAATATTATAATATATTAGCATATTGTACATATATAGGCATAGGTTAGGTTAGGTGTTTAGGTTCTGTTGGCGATTATTAGTATTTGTAGTACGTGGGTGAAGCATTTACAGCGTTGTGGTTCGAACACAACTCGTCAGTGAAGCACTTGTTCCGGACGTGTTCGGACGTCATCAGTTGTGAGTCGTGTGTAAACCGTTTTCCATTCATAAACACCAGGGGGGTTGGCGGGTGGATGGAATCACTTTCGGGTGTTGTTTGGAGGACGGGCTGTCGGAGCTCATTAACTGTTTAATAATTGTAAACAAAGTCGCCAAAGATTGAGAAAAGATGTACAGGTTCGTAAGTGCTTGCGTAACTACTTCGTGAATCTGGCTTGTGCATTCGCTTACATCTACAGTTTCCCGGTGAAAGGTTGCCAGCCGATGTTCTCCCGGCATGTTTATGACTTGTATGTCCACCGAGGTGACATGGAGAGTCTAGTGCACTGTGGAAAACAATCCACTTTGGGCAGTCCCGAAGTCCTGACTTGTTCTTGTGAGAGGACAAGTTGGTTATGGTGTGTTGGCTGTTGTAGTGGTGCACGGTTGTGGCCACCGACGGACCAAGAGCAGTTACCAGACGACAATACTGGCCGTCTGTGTACGAGTACTGCCAGGGTGTTGACGAAGACCTCTGCCAGGGTGTTGACGAAGACCTCTGCCAGGGTGTTGACGAAGACCTCTGCCAGGGTGTTGACGAAGACCTCTGTCAGGGTCATCCAGGAGAGCAGATGTGTGGTGTATACTGGGACACGGTGACGACACGGTGCGAGGACTGCCTGGCCCGCGCCGTGAGGTCCTCTTCAAAAGAACGTCGCTTTTGGCCGTTTGCCAGTATGGCCGAATTTGGACGTAATTGGAAAATGAAAAAAAAAATGAAAATAAATTTGGGATTTTTTTTCAACAGCAGTAAGTTAAGGGTCCTGTGATAGGTTAGGTGGGCAGGAAATTCTCATAAAGTTTCAAACGGTATGAAAAACGTGAATTGAAAGTCACCTATTCTAACCTTACAGAGTCGGCCGGACGACTCGAACAGAAAACGGAACAGTACGTCACTTTTGTGAGTCGATTTCATTTCAAATTACGTCCAAATTTGGCCATAGTGCCGCGCATACCAGCCAAAAGTGACGTTATTTTTAAGAGGACGGGTTGGTTGAGGAAGGTGAACACGCCGCTGCTGCCCACTGAGCGTGGACGACGTGTATGGTGTAACATTACACGTCACACAGTGGACTCACCGCTATTTGAAGAACACTGCAGGTATATTAAATGTCCTGTACGAGAGTGACACAGTGTACACATGTGTAGTAATATGACATACATAATACATTAGTGTTATATAATCTTGTTTACCTCCTTTATTCCTCGCACAATTACTCGCTACCGCTAATTCTTGATAACTAACCATTGACGTGGCGGTGATATCATAGACTCATAAGCAGGAAGAACCCGGTTAATGGCTCAAACAGGCTGTAACACTGCCCTTTACAAACTCTGCCCACCCCGCCATCGCCGGGGATCGATCCCCCGGAGCCTGGATTAAGAATACCGAGCTGTCTCCACTCAGCCACCACCCAGGTACTCACCGCCATGTGAGAGTCGTCCATGGCCCTCTTGGGGGAGTTGGTCCTGGACCCGCCTGACCGCACCGCCTGCACCAGCTGTGAGGGACACAACACAACACTTACATTATCGCCATGTCTGGCGCGGGTTCGAACCCTGGTTCTCCAAGGCCAGGTCATTTATATTCCATTATAACACAAGTTTAGATTTAGGTTGTAAAATATTATACTAATTAGTTCCAGAACATTGTATTATGAACCATTGTTTTATCTACACTATGGTGGTCTGGTGTCCCACACTATGGTGGTCTGGTGGTCTGGTGTCCCACACTATGGTGGTCTGGTGTCCCACACTATGGTGGTCTGGTGGTCTAGTGTCCCACACTATGGTGGTCTAGTGTCCCAGACTATGGTGGTCTAGTGTCCCACACTATGGTGGTCTGGTGGTCTAGTGTCCCACACTATGGTGGTCTGGTGGTCTAGTGTCCCAGACTATGGTGGTCTAGTGTCCCACACTATGGTGGTCTGGTGGTCTAGTGTCCCACACTATGATAGTGATCTGGTGGTCTAGTGTCCCACACTATGGTGGTCTGGTGGTCTAGTGTCCCACACTATGGTGGTCTGGTGTCCCACATTATGGTGGTCTGGTGTCCCACACTATGGTGGTCTGGTGTCCCACACTATGGTGGTCTGGTGTCCCACACTATGGTGGTCTAGTGTCCCACACTATGGTGGTCTGGTGTCCCACACTATGGTGGTCTGGTGTCCCACACTATGGTCTGGTGGTCTAGTGTCCCACACTATGGTGGTCTAGTGTCCCACACTATGGTGGTCTAGTGTCCCACACTATGGTGGTCTAGTGTCCCACACTATGGTGGTCTAGTGTCCCACACTATGGTGGTCTAGTGTCCCACACTATGGTGGTCTGGTGTCCCACACTATGGTGGTCTAGTGTCCCACACTATGGTGGTCTAGTGTCCCACACTATGGTGGTCTAGTGTCCCACACTATGGTGGTCTGGTGTCCCACACTATGGTGGTCTGGTGTCCCACACTATGGTGGTCTGGTGTCCCACACTATCCCACACTATGGTGGTCTATGGTGGTCTAGTGTCCCACACTATGGTGGTCTGGTGTCCCACACTATGGTCTGGTGGTCTAGTGTCCCACACTATGGTGGTCTGGTGTCCCACACTATGGTCTGGTGGTCTAGTGTCCCACACTATGGTGGTCTGGTGTCCCACACTATGGTGGTCTGGTGGTCTGGTGTCCCACACTATGGTGGTCTGGTGGTCTAGTGTCCCACACTATGGTGGTCTAGTGTCCCACACTATGGTGGTCTAGTGTCCCACACTATGGTGGTCTGGTGTCCCACACTATGGTGGTCTAGTGTCCCACACTATGGTGGTCTAGTGTCCCACACTATGGTGGTCTAGTGTCCCACACTATGGTGGTCTAGTGTCCCACACTATGGTGGTCTAGTGTCCCACACTATGGTGGTCTGGTGTCCCACACTATGGTGGTCTGGTGTCCCACACTATGGTGGTCTGGTGTCCCACACTATGGTGGTCTGGTGGTCTAGTGTCCCACACTATGGTGGTCTGGTGTCCCACACTATGGTGGTCTGGTGGTCTAGTGTCCCACAATATGGTGGTCTGGTGTCCCACACTATGGTGGTCTAGTGTCCCACACTATGGTGGTCTGGTGTCCCACACTATGGTGGTCTGGTGTCCCACACTATGGTGGTCTAGTGTCCCACACTATGGTGGTCTGGTGTCCCACACTATGGTGGTCTGGTGTCCCACACTATGGTGGTCTAGTGTCCCACACTATGGTGGTCTGGTGTCCCACACTATGGTCTGGTGGTCTAGTGTCCCACACTATGGTGGTCTGGTGTCCCACACTATGGTCTGGTGGTCTGGTGTCCCACACTATGGTGGTCTGGTGTCCCACACTATGGTGGTCTGGTGGTCTAGTGTCCCACACTATGGTGGTCTGGTGTCCCACACTATGGTGGTCTGGTGGTCTAGTGTCCCACAATATGGTGGTCTGGTGTCCCACACTATGGTGGTCTAGTGTCCCACACTATGGTGGTCTGGTGTCCCACACTATGGTGGTCTGGTGTCCCACACTATGGTGGTCTAGTGTCCCACACTATGGTGGTCTGGTGTCCCACACTATGGTGGTCTGGTGTCCCACACTATGGTGGTCTAGTGTCCCACACTATGGTGGTCTGGTGTCCCACACTATGGTCCCACACTATGGTGGTCTGGTGTCCCACACTATGGTGGTCTGGTGTCCCACACTATGGTGGTCTGGTGTCCCACACTATGGTGGTCTGGTGTCCCACACACTATGGTGGTCTGGTGTCCCACACTATGGTGGTCTGGTGTCCCACACTATGGTGGTCTAGTGTCCCACACTATGGTGGTCTGGTGTCCCACACTATGGTGGTCTAGTGTCCCACACTATGGTGGTCTGGTGTCCCACACTATGGTGGTCTAGTGTCCCACACTATGGTGGTCTGGTGTCCCACACTATGGTGGTCTAGTGTCCCACACTATGGTGGTCTGGTGTCCCACACTATGGTGGTCTGGTGGTCCCACACTATGGTGGTCTGGTGTCCCACACTATGGTGGTCTGGTGTCCCACACTATGGTGGTCTAGTGTGGTCCCACACTATGGTCTGGTGGTCTAGTGTCCCACACTATGGTGGTCTGGTGTCCCACACTATGGTGGTCTGGTGGTCTAGTGTCCCACACTATGGTGGTCTAGTGTCCCACACTATGGTGGTCTGGTGGTCTGGTGTCCCACACTATGGTCTGGTGGTCTAGTGTCCCACACTATGGTGGTCTGGTGGTCTGGTGTCCCACACTATGGTCTGGTGGTCTAGTGTCCCACACTATGGTGGTCTAGTGTCCCACACTATGGTGGTCTGGTGGTCTGGTGTCCCACACTATGGTAGTCTGGTGTCCCACACTATGGTGGTCTGGTGTCCCACACTATGGTGGTCTAGTGTCCCACACTATGGTGGTCTAGTGTCCCACACTATGGTGGTCTAGTGTCCCACACTATGGTGGTCTGGTGTCCCCACACTATGGTGGTCTGGTGTCCCACACTATGGTGGTCTGGTGGTCTCCCACACTATGGTGGTCTAGTGTCCCACACTATGGTGGTCCCACACTATGGTGGTCTGGTGTCCCACACTATGGTCTGGTGGTCTAGTGTCCCACACTATGGTGGTCTGGTGTCCCACACTATGGTCTGGTGTCCCACACTATGGTCTGGTGGTCTAGTGTCCCACACTATGGTGGTCTGGTGTCCCACACTATGGTGGTCTGGTGTCCCACACTATGGTCTGGTGGTCTAGTGTCCCACACTATGGTGGTCTGGTGTCCCACACTATGGTCACTATGGTGGTCTAGTGTCCCACACTATGGTGGTCTGGTGTCCCACATGGTATGGTCTAGGTGGTCTGGTGGTCTAGTGTCCCACACTATGGTGGTCTGGTGTCCCACAGTATGGTCTGGTGGTCTAGTGTCCCACACTATGGTGGTCTGGTGTCCCACACTATGGTCTAGTGTCCCACACTATGGTGGTCTGGTGTCCCACACTAGTGTCCCACACTATGGTGGTCTGGTGTCCCACACTATGGTGGTCTGGTGGTCTGGTGTCCCACACTATGGTGGTCTAGTGTCCCACACTATGGTGGTCTGGTGGTCTGGTGTCCCACACTATGGTGGTCTGGTGTCCCACACTATGGTGGTCTGGTGTCCCACACTATGGTGGTCTGGTGTCCCACACTATGGTGGTCTGGTGGTCTAGTGTCCCACACAGTACACAGGCTGTTGTGTAGGGGGGGGGGGTGTAATAGAGAAGTAAGCACCCACCTTCTCTAATGTGGTCATGGCTTTCTCAGGTGTAGCCGCCTCGCCCGTGGTGGTGGCCGCCTTGCTCACACCCGCCCCGCCTCCACCTCCGTCACTCCTCTCTGTAACACATGGGGCCTTTACTCTCTGGCTCACACACACACACAAGGAGAGACAGACAGACAGACAGTGAGAGACAGACAGGGAGAGACAGGAAGAGACAGAGATAGATAACACTTGACTTAATTCACAACTATAAAGTTCTCTCAAAGTTGTACATAAAACACACATCAAATGTAGTTGTGTAGTTAAGGAATGGTGATTTTATATATATAATATATTACACGTTATATTCCCGTGGTGATGACGGTTCACGGACGTGAGAACTAGTCCACACTATGCAGTCTGCTCCAACACTGCTGGGACTGGTTAGTGGATGGGTGGGTGACCGTGGGGATGGCTAGGGACAGTAGCTAGGGGCAACAGAACAAGCCTAAGGGGCTCCCTAGCCCAATGGGGAGCCATATAACTATTATTACAGAACGTAACAACTGGCTGCAGAATTAGGCAGACACGTGGCTATTAGAGTTCAGCTACTGCCAATTGTAACGTTATGAGACAAAGAGAGAGCGGGGAATGGCGGGGGACCAAAGAGCCAGAGCTCAACCTCCACAAGCACAAATAGGCGAGTAGGTGAGTACGCACGCGCGCGCGCGCGCGCGCGCGCACACACACACACACACACACACACACACACACACACACACACACACACACACACACACACACACACACACACACACACACACACTGGCACTGAACTACAGGCCAGTATCCTTGACTTGTATACCATGCAAGGTGATGGAGAAGATCGTGAGAAAAAACCTGGTAACACATCTGGAGAGAAGGGACTTAGTGACAAATCGACAACATGGGTTCAGGGAGGGTAAATCTTGCCTGACTGGCTTAATAGAAATCTATGACCAGGTGACACAGATTAAGCAAGAAAGAGAGGGCTGGGCGGACTGCATTTTCTTGGATTGTCGGAAAGCCTTTGACACAGTACCGCATAAGAGGCTGGTACATAAGCTGGAGAGACAGGCAGGTGTAGCTGGTAAGGTGCTCCAGTGGATAAGGGAGTATCTAAGCAATAGGAAGCAGAGAGTTACGGTGAGGGGTGAGACCTCTGATTGGCGTGAAGTCACCAGTGGAGTCCCACAGGGCTCTGTACTCGGTCCTATCTTGTTTCTGATATATGTAAATGATCTCCCGGAGGGTATAGATTCATTTCTCTCAATGTTTGCTGATGATGCCAAAATTATGAGAAGGATTAAGACAGAAGAGGACTGTTTGAGGCTTCAAGAAGACCTAGACAAACTGAAGGAATGGTCGAACAAGTGGTTGTTAGAGTTCAACCCAACCAAATGTAATGTAATGAAGATAGGTGTAGGGAGCAGGAGGCCAAATACAAGGTATCATCTGGGAGAGGAAATCCTTCAGGAGTCAGAGAAAGAAAAAGACTTGGGAGTTGATATCACGCCAGACCTGTCTCCTGCAGCTCATATCAAGAGGATAACATCAGCGGCATATGCCAGGCTTTCCAACATACGAACGGCATTCAGAAATTTGTGTAAAGAATCATTCAGAACTTTGTATACCACATATGTCAGGCCAATCCTTGAATATGCAGCCCTAGCATGGAGTCCATATCTAGTGAAGGATAAGACTAAACTGGAAAAGGTTCAAAGATTTGCCACCAGACTAGTGCCCAGGCTGAGAGGTATGAGCTACGAGGAAAGACTACGGGAATTGAACCTCAAGTCGCAGGAAGACAGAAGAGTTAGGGGGGACATGATCACCACGTACAAGATTCTAAGAGGAATTGATAAAGTAAATAAAGACAGGTTATTTAACACAAGGGGCACATGCACTAGGGGACACAGGTGGAAACTGAGTGCCCAAATGAGCCACAGAGCTATTACAAAGAACTTTTTTAGTGTCAGAGTGGTTGACAAATGGAATGCATTAGGCAGTGATGTGGTGGAGGCTGACTCCATACACAGTTTCAAGTGTAGATATGATAGAGCCCAGTAGGCTCAGGAATCTATACACCTGTTGATTTATTCGTTTGCCTTGTTCGGGTTAGAAGGTAGACACAGTAGTCGCTTCTGTATATATTTATTGACTGAGATAGCAAGGTATATATCTGCCTAGCCGAGGTCCTTCTACTCTGAGTCTGTGAGGAGAACTGCGGCTGCTGGGAGCATGGCTGATGCTCCTCTGTCTGGCATGACGTCAGAGGCCTACTCGCCTGTGATTGGTTACATTTCAACTGACAGAATTTGAGTATAACAGATTGACGGTTGAGAGGCGGGACCAAAGAGCCAGAGCTCAACCCCCGCAAACACAACTAGGTGAGTACAACTAGGTGAGTATACACACACACACACAGACACACAGACACACACACACACAGACACACACACACACACACACACACACACACACACACACACACACACACACACACACACACACACACACACACACACACACACACCTGGGGAGTGAGCAGAGAGGACCTTGAAACACAGCCCCGGGGGCTAAGACCCGACACCTCTCATGTGTTCTCTACCTCACCCTGCCCCTCTGTACCTCACCCTGCCCCTCTGTACCTCACCCTGCCTCTCTGTACCTCACCCTGCCCCTCTGTACCTCACCCTGCCCCTCTGTACCTCACCCTGCCCCTCTGTGCCTCACCCTGCCCCTCTGTACCTCACCCTGCCCCTCTGTACCTCACCCTGCCCCTCTGTACCTCACCCTGCCCCTCTGTGCCTCACCCTGTCCCTCTGTACCTCACCCTGCCCCTCTGTACCTCACCCTGTTCCTCTGTACCTCACCCTGCCCCTCTGTAACTCACCCTGTCCCTCTGTACCTCACCCTATCCCTCTGTACCTCACCCTGCCCCTCTGTGCCTCACCCTGCCCCTCTGTACCTCACCCTGCCCCTCTGTACCTCACCCTGCCCCTCTGTACCTCACCCTGTCCCTCTGTACCTCACCCCTGCCCCTCACCCTGCCTCTCTGTACCTCACCCTGCCCCTCTGTACCTCACCCTGTCCCTCTGTACCTCACCCTGTCCCTCTGTACCTCACCCTGTCCCTCTGTACCTCACCCTGCCCCTCTGTACCTCACCCTGCCCCTCACCCTGCCTCTCTGTACCTCACCCTGCCCCTCACCCTGTCCCTCTGTACCTCACCCTGGTTGATACCTGGTTGATACCTGGTTGATGGGGTTCTGGGAGTTCGTCTACTCCCCAAGCCCGGCCCGAGGCCAGGCTCGACTTGTGAGAGTTTGGTCCACCAGGCTGTTGCTTGGTGAATGAAGAGCAGAGGTGCCTATGGCACCTCTGCTCTTCATTGGTTCTATTCTACATTTTCTTCCATGTCGTTCATGGAGTACGTTCAACGTACTCCAGTACGTTGTTATTTTACTGTGTAGATTTGGTACTTGGCCCTCCAGTATCTTCCAGGTGTATATTATTTGATATCTCTCTCGTCTTCTTTCTAGTGAGTACATTTGGAGGGCTTTGAGACGATCCCAATAATTTAGGTGCTTTATTGCGTCTATGCGTGCCGTATATGTTCTCTGTATTCCCTCTATTTCAGCAATCTCTCCTGCTTTGAAGGGGAAGTGAGTACTGAGCAGTACTCAAGACGGGACAACACAAGTGCCTTGAAGAGTACAACCATTGTGATGGGATCCCTGGATTTGAAAGTTCTCGTAATCCATCCTATCATTTTTCTGGCTGTCGCAATATTTGCTTGGTTATGCTCCTTAAACGTTAGGTCGTCAGACATTATTATTCCCAAATCCTTTACATGCTGTTTTCCTACTATGGGTACATTTGATTGTGTTTTGTACTCTGTATTATGTTTAAGGTCCTCATTTTTACCGTACCTGAGTACCTGGAATTTATCACTGTTAAACATCATGTTATTTTCTGATGCCCAGTCGAAAACTTTATTAATATCAGCTTGAAGTTTTTCAATGTCCTCAGCCGAGGTAATTTTCATACTGATTTTTGTGTCATCTGCAAAGGATGATACGAAGCTGTGACTTGTATTTTTGTCTATATCTGATATGAGAATAAGGAAAAGCAGTGGTGCAAGGACTGTACCCTGAGGTACAGAGCTTTTCACTGCACTTGGACTAGATTTTATATGGTTGACCGTTACTCGCTGAGTCCTGTTTGACAGAAAACTGAGTATCCAGCGTCCTACTTTACCGGTTATTCCCATTGACTTCATTTTGTGTGCTATCACGCCATGATCACATTTATCGAAGGCCTTTGCGAAGTCCGTGTATATCACATCAGCATTCTGTTTCTCTTCTAATGCCTCAGTGACTTTGTCGTAGTGCTCAAGTAGCTGTGAGAGGCACGATCTTCCCGCTCGAAATCCATGTTGGCCTGGGTTATGAAGGTCATTGGTCTCCATGAAATTGGTGACCTGACTCCTAATCACTCTCTCAAATACTTTTATGATGTGCGATGTTAGTGCAACTGGTCTATAATTTTTTGCCAATGCTTTGCTCCCTCCCTTGTGTTGAGGGGCTATGTCTGCTACTTTAAGTGCATCTGGTATCTCCCCCGTGTCCAAGCTCTTCCTCCACACTATACTGAGTGCCTGTGCTACCGGCACTTTGCATTTCTTTATAAATATTGAATTCCATGAGTCTGGACCTGGGGCCGAGTGCATGGGCATGTTTTCAATTTCTTTTTCAAAATTTAGTGCGCTCGTGTTTATATCAGTTATATTTACCGGGGTTTGAATATCCCGCATAAAGAAATTGTCTGGATCTTCCACCTTCATGTTGTTTATTGGAGTGCTAAACATGTCCTCATACTGCTTTTTTAGGATTTCACTAATTTCTTTGTCATCCTCCGTGTATGAACCTTCACTTGTACGAATAGGTCCAATACTGGCAGTGGTTTCTGCTTTTGATTTCGCATATGAGAAAAAATATTTTGGATTTTTCTTTATTTCCTGAATTGCTTTCTGTTCTAACTGCCTTTCTTCAGTTTCATATGAGTGTTTCAATTTCCGCTCGATTTCTTCAATC